CATTGGTCTTAAAATCATGTTGTTGTTTTTTGTCTTTTTTTTTTTTTTTTTTTTTTTTTTTTTTTTTTTTTTTTTTTTTTTTTTTTTTTTTTTTTTTTTTTTTTTTTTTTTTTTTTTTTTGTCTTTTTTTTTTTTCAATATTAACTGAAAAGTGCCTGTCCCCAATTTCAATGTTTACAAGAGTTACTTTAAGTTTGACCCCTTTTTTTTTTTTATTGAATAATTTTTTTTTTTTTTTTTTTTTTTTTTTTTTTTTTTTTTTTTTTTTTTTTTTTTTCAATATTAACTGAAAAGTGCCTGTCCCCAATTTTAATGTTTACAATAGTTACTTTAAGTGTGACCCCTTTTTTTTTTTTATTGAATAAAATTATAAAATTTTAACGATACTTTATCACGAAGTCTTTTTGACATGAACCCAATTTTCCTTGTAAGCTGCTAACACTTTAGAAGTAAATGTACGTGTAAGCTGAGAAAACTTTGGAAGTAAATGTACGTGTAAAATGAGAACACATTAAAAGTTGTTTTTTCCGAAAGTAAAGTCGAGCCGCGTGGGTTATTTTGGCTCGTTTGGAATATTTTTAAAAAAGATCCGATATTGTAAAAAATTAATGATTTCATATCGATCTGATAATAATTGTCATATTTTGTTCGGAATGTTGTAATGCTAGAGATAATCAGATTTTGGCTTAATGCCTTCTTCTGCAAACACAATAAAAAACCCAAAGAGAATCAGGCAAAAAATAATAATTAGAATGTAATTATGGAAAGCACGTGACATGAAGTTTTTCTTAGTGATGTTGTAGTACAAGTCTTAGTGATGTTGTAGTACAAGTCTTAGTGATGTTGTAGTACAAGTCTTAGTGATGTTGTAGTACAATTCTTAGTGATGTTGTAGTACAAGTCTTAGTGATGTTGTAGTACAAGTCTTAGTGATGTTGTAGTACAATTCTTAGTGATGTTGTAGTACAAGTCTTAGTGATGTTGCAGTACAAGTATTAGTGATGCTGTAGTACAAGTCTTAGTGATGGTGTAGTACAAGTCTTAGTGATGTTGCAGTACAAGTCTTAGTGATGTTGTAGTACAAGTCTTAGTGATGTTGTAGTACAAGTCTTAGTGATATTGCAGTACAAGTCTTAGTGATGCTGTAGTACAGGTCTTAGTGATGTTGTAGCACAAGTTTAGTGATGTTGTAGTAAATGTCTTGGTGATGTTGTAGTACATAAAGGAATACCGGTATTACATGCTGCTTATGTTCCTGACACCGTCTGTTATTTCTCTTCACCGCAGGTAACCAGCCAGTCGAGCTTTCTACAAAGGTAAGTGAAACTGCTTGTAAAATATTGTTTCTACTGTAAACCGTAATAGTAAACATATATTCAAAATAGGCATCAATTCCAATAACGCATCAAAGAGTCAGCAATTCACAAAATCTATTGATCAAAGTGACAGCCGCTGTTTAAAGTTAGATACCAAAATACATATGATAGATGTCAAATTGAGATGTAATAGAGCAGTGGTCTTCAACCTTCTTAATGCCGCGACCCTTTAACACAGTTCTTCATGTTGTGGTGACCACCACCAATAAAATAATTTTCCTTGCTACTTCATAAATATCTGTTTTCCTATGATCTTAGACGACCCCTGTGTAAGGGTCGTTCGACGCCAAAGGGGTCGAGACCCACAGGTTGAGAACCGCTGTTATAGAGGGGCGCAGAAAGAAGGGCATCTGCGTGAAACCGCGCGAGACTACCTGCGCAGCCTGGGTCGTGGCCAGTGGCAGGAAGGGGCAACTTCCGGCTTTAGAGTTACTTGGTCATTTTCTTTCCAACTTTGACAGGAATTGGGGTCCGTAGTGCGTACTGCTCAAAGAGTTTTTTGTTTTTTTGTTTGTTTGTTGTTTTGTTGTTTTTTTTTGGTTGGGGGGGGGGTAAAAACCCCCAGCAGCAGAGCTCTGGTTGGACGTCCTACACAACCAAGCTGCTATATTTCTGGTAACAGTCAAGCAGATTAGAATTCCAACTGCAACATTTGTTGAAGTAGCTGAGGCATTGAAGAGTCTCCTGCTTACATAGCAGGGAAGAAAAGAACAGAAATTGTGTCCACTCATTATTTGCAGTAAGTTGAGAGATTTGGAAGAAGCAGGTGAAATAAATGCAAGATGGTGGGAACAAAATCAATTTTTGCACTCTATGGTACTAGTATAACATATCTGCAGCGTTGGTCTGTTCACTTTCAGGATTTTGAAATATTTGCTTGGGTGACTTTGAAGGTATTCATTACCTCCCTGGGACAACGTAGAAAGACGTGTCATTTTTGAAACCGGAAAATTGTTGACAGCGATCGCTTTGCTGAGCTAACTTAAGTGAAACTTTTTTTGTCACCTTCTAAGCTGGAATAATGGAAATCTCAAAACATTTCTGTATATCGAAAAGTGGGTGTAAATATTTCAACATTTCAACCAAAAAAAAAAAAAAAATTATGAACCTTCTGTAAATGTTCAACTGCTGCTTGAGTTTTCATTCAGCCTTCCTGGCACACATGCACCTGTAGAGCGTGCTGTCTCTCTGGTAAACAATGTTTGGACGGCTGAGAAATTGCAGATCATCTAACATGTTTTCCATTTTACGATATTCTTTTTAAGAATGGAAATTTGTTAAAAATGTATTCATGGGTCTGCATAATCTTCAAAATAGTTTTTCACAAAATGATGTCAGAAGGATATTAAAAACCATGCAGAACACCTCCCCGATCCCCGGCTGCTATGCCTCCGGTTGCTACGAGTCTTGGTTTCCGGACTTGTTTTGTGTCCGTACTTTCTATGTGTCCTTGCTTGTTTTGTGTCCGTACTTGCTCTGTGTCCTTACTTGCTTTGTGTCCATACTTGCTCTGTGTCCGTACTTCCTTTGTGTCCATACTTGCTCTGTGTCCGTACTTGTTTTGTATCCGTACTTGCTCTGTGTCCGTACTTGCTTTGTGTCCATACTTGCTCTGTGTCCGTACTTGCTTTGTGTCCGTTCTTGTTTTGTTTCCGTACTTGGCATCCAGGAAATCTTTTAAGCTTTCAGGAAGTGTCATGAGATCGTGGTTTTAAATTAATTAATGTTGTCAAAGTGATGAAAATGATGTCATGGAATCTGTTTGAATATAATGTCAAGGAATCTGTTTGAATATTGAATATAATGTCAAGGAATCTGTTTGAATATAATGTCATGGATTCAGTTTGCTTCCTATTAATATCTGTATTGCTCATACTTTGATCAAACGTCTCAAATGTACGGAGCCCAAAGAAGAATGACCCCAGATTTCGCTGTGGCAAACTACTAAAAACTGTAACTGATATCAAAACAAGGACTCGTTTCAACTTCCATTCATTCTATCAGTGAATCATATTCTTGTATATACATCGTGTACAAACGTTGCCTGTGCTACATCCGGTCATTAGCCATCTACGAGACATCCGGTAGGTTATTATAGGGGTCGTCCATTAAGTACGTCTACAATTTTCAAGCAATTTTTGACCCCCCTCTCCCCCTTGTCAAAACTTGTCAAACTTTCAATGTCAAAACTTGGCAAACTTTCAATGACCCCCCCCCCCCATTTGATTATGTCAACATTTTCTAACCCCTTCCTCCCCCCACCCCAAAAAATGAATTATAAAATTAATAAATTTATAAATACATTTAACTTCGTGCTGATCTATTTTAATGACAATAAAATTGTAGGAACAAATGTTATTACATCTTTAGCTTGTTGTTGATTAAAGAAGTTAAAAAGTTTGTACACTGAAATTTTATAATGCAGAATCAAAGGAAAGGTTGTTAAAGTTAAAGACTAAATATCATTGTTTGTTGTATAAATATGATTATTGTCAGTAAAGCTGACAATTATAGCATAGTTTCTAGCTGCTATCATCTTCCCAAGGAGTAGCCAGGTTTGCTCTATCGGAACAATGGGCATCGGGCATATAATTTGGATAGAGCAGGGGGAATTTGCCCCAACCTCGTAATTTGCAGGTTTTATTTAAATTGCTATGTACTGTGGCGCCTCCAGTAATAAAGAACTTAACAAGCCGACCAAGTTTTGGTTTTGCCCCCCCCCTCCCCCCACCCCTGACAAAAAATATATGAAATTGTGCCCCTGATGGACATAGTCTACAGTAGCTGAATGATCATTTTCATCTTGTGGCACTGGTGTCAGTATACAGACACAAATTAAATAAATCTTATAATGTTAAAAGCCTTCAAATTATATGAATATTTACACTGATACATGTGTTAAAATAATGTCAGAACCAGTCAATTTTTAAGATTAAAATCTTAATAGAGAAAACATGCTTGTTGACGTCAACTAATCTAAACCCCACTCCCTCCCCCTTGTCAACAACTGTCAAACATTTCCAAACTCCCTCCCCCTCTTATTTTGTTGACCTAATTAATGGACGCCCCCCACAGACATTTCCGCCCAAGTTATCTCAGATTGACCCCGTGAAAGTTGGGAGTAAAATAAATAATCAGAAAAGCAATGTAACCATGACACGGATTAAATGGGGGGGGGGCTGACTCGAGCATACACCCCCCCCCAGTCAATTTGATGATAAGGACAACGTCTAGCGTCATCACGTAAAGTCAAATGTTAAGACTGAACTCATGACTTGTTACGTTTATCTAATCAATGTCCTGTCTTGACGTGATAACAACTTTTGGCAGACAACTTTAAGTAGCGCATGTTTAAATATGAAAACTATTCATTCCCAAGAAAATATCCACTGAATATAAACCATTTGCCATGTCAGACAGAGTTAAGGCTTGTCACAATATTTGCTTTCTGTCCTTTTCAACACACAGACAGCATTGATTACTCAATTAATTACCATGAGTATTATCGTGTCTTTGTAAATAGCCGTGCAGTGATAATCTCATGCAAGCACGTGTTTCTACAACCTTTCATTGAAAATGATTTCAACATTTTTTTTTTCCTTTTTAGGGTGAAAGAAAGTCAGCACGGCCTAAAGTGGGCCGTGCCATCAGCCCAGTCTGGTGGAGGAATCACATCCAACGGAGCTGCAAGACGCTTGGCCTAGGGAACAGGCTCAATTACACCAAGTCTATGATGAAACACATTATAGTGGATGACAAGAATAAGGTAGAGTGATGCTGTTCGTTCTTGGTCCAATAACTGCAAAGTGTTGTGTCTAGCGGGGGAGAGGACTCTGAAATAATGTTTCTAAGATGTTGGACAAGGCGCCTGGAACGAAGCTAAAATATTGTTTTACAAACTTTCAGCCCATTTCAAAATCAATAAATTTATTCAGAAATAATGTATCAATCCCCTATGAAGTTGAGAGGTTAAAGTTCGCTGTATGAAATTGACTTCATGGGTTTAAAGATGAGCATAAAATTGAAACAATTTTCACTCATAAACATTGAGTAATAAAAATAATAACGTATGAGTAGGTCATGGATGCAGTAGTGAATGTTATTTGTTATTGACGGCTATGACCGGCTATTGTGAAGGTCAGTTGTTGTTGACGGCCATGACTGGGCTATTGTGATATTGTGAAGGTCAGTTGTTGTTGACGGCCATGACCGGGCTATTCTGAAGGTCAGTTGTTGTTGACGGCCATGACCGGGCTATTGTGAAGGTCAGTTGGCATTGACGGCCATTACCGGGCTATTGTGATATTGTGAAGGTCAGTTGGTATTGACGGTCATTACCGGGCTATTGTGATATTGTGATATTGTGATATTGTAATGGTTAGTTGTTATTGACGACCATTGCCGGGCTATTGTGATATTGTCCAGGTCGGTTGTTATTGATGGCCGTGACCGGGCGATGTTGTGTTTTTTCAAACGTGGCGTCATGGCATGACCCCGAGCAACGCGGGCCTTAGGAAAACTTTCGCCCTGTGCGAAGCACCCGTTCAGCGCCCCCTTCGGTATTATAAATTAATTTCCACGCCCTTTCGGTTGCCCCCCCCCCCCAAATCTCAAACCCCAGTGTTAGTATCCAAATTAAGAATGTAATTTTCATTCTATGAAACTCATTCTATGAAACTCATTTTATGAAACTCATTCTATGAAACTCAATGTTTGGACGAAAAGTTAGAACAGCGTTTCTCGACCCCGGACCCGAGGTTCACACTTCACTGTAATAAACTAAGGGCATTTAAACATTTACTGGGCGCCCCTGGCGCCCCTATGGCCACGGCGCCCTGTGCGAGGGCACAGGTCGCACACCCTAAAGGCCGGCATTGCCCTCAGGTCAGATGTGTGCCCAATTTTTGTAGGCTGTCTGTGGTTGACAGGTGTTGTCATTGTTTGATCTCCCAACAAGCCAAAGTGACACAGGAATGAGTGGATCAAAACTCAATGATGATGAATTCTTTTTGGGCGTTTCAAAACATACCTATATATATTTTTTTTAAATTATCAAATAAAAATATTTGTTGCGCGTAGTTCGAGAATCCGAGACTTGTATAAATGATATAAAGTTTGATTACGTATTTTGCTCTCTCTTTTTAATTAGATGCAGTGTTTCTATCCGGCATGGTCTCATAAAATTAAACGACATGTTATAACATTGAGTTTCTCAAAAATAATAATAATAATCTGCATATATTACATTCAGAGTTTAATGCTGTTTATTTCAAGTCTTGTTACATTCATAGTTTAATGCTGTTTATTTTAAGTCTTGTTACATTCAGAGTTTAATGCTGTTTATTTCAACTCTTGTTACATACAATGTTAAATACTCTTTCTTTCAGCTCTTGTACTGCGCCATTCCCAAAGTCGCATCTACAACATGGCGTCGCATCTTCCTCATCCTATCGGGAAGAACAGACGTGAACAACCCTTTGTCTTTCAAAGCCGACGACGTCCACCACAAGTACAGAGAACACGTCATATATCTCAGCACGTTTTCCAAAGAGGAGATCCAAATACGTCTCAAGGATTACTACAAGTTCGTCTTCGTCAGAGAACCCTTCGAGCGCCTGCTGTCTGCCTTCAGAAATAAGTTCGTCACTCAGACCAACGCTTCCAAATATTTCAAGGCGAACTTCGGTAAGCAAATCATCGACACTTACCGCGTGACTCCGCCGGCAAATCACGAAGGCGATGGGGTGACATTCACCGAGTTTGTGGAATACATCGTTGACCCCACGAAGGAGATTCCCATGAACGAACACTGGGAGAAGTACGAGACTTTGTGTAACCCTTGCCTCGTCAACTATGATTTCATCGGCAAGTTGGAGTCGATAGAGACAGACGGTCAGTACGTCTTGGATAAGCTCGCCCTGGGGTATAAACTGTCCATTCCCAGGAGGTCGGACCTTAAGTACGCCACGAACCAGACGCAGACCTTCATGAAGGAGTATTACGGTCAGCTGCCGCGAAGGCTGCTGGTGAAGCTGTTCAGGATGTACCATGGGGATTTTGTGTTGTTTAACTACACAGTGCCAAGAGATATATTGGACATGATGGGGATAAGATAGTTACAGTGCCCAGAGATATATTAACAAGTGAGGGGGGTAAGATAGTTACACAGTGCCCAAAGATATATTGGACATGATGGGGTAAGATAGTTACACAGTGCCCAGAGATATATTGGACATGATGGGGGTAAGATAGGTACACAGTGCCCAAAGATATATTGGACATGATGGGGGTAGGATAGTTACACAGTGCCCAGAGATATATTGGACATGATGGGGGTAAGATAGGTACACAGTGACCAGAAATATATTGGACATGATGGGGGTAAGATAGGTACACAGTGACCAGAAATATATTGGACATGATGGGGGTAAGATAGTTACACAGTGACCAGAAATATATTGGACATGACGGGGGTAAGATAATTCAATCTTTAATATATTGGTGGTAAGAAATACAGTGCCTAGAGATATGTTGGAAAGGACAGATGGGGGGGGGGGGGGGGTCGAACTTTATCTAGCAATTCTTACTGTGTTAGAAGCTTTGTTTACTGAAAGTTGAAAAAGAAAAAAATTGAAAGATTTCTTAGTTATACTATTGAAGATTTCTTAGTTATACCATTGAAAATTTCTTAGATATATCATTGAAGATTTCTTAGTTTAATCATTGGAGGTTTCTACACGGATGTTACCTTGAGATAAGAGTGTCTGTGAAGCAAACAAACTTAGAGAAATGCATTCAAGGGTGGAGTATATAATTACACTATCTATTTACAATTGTTGACATTTACCTCATTAAATGTTACACACGATCAAACTTGTTGTATTACACGCACCGTAACAAAGCAGCTGCAACATTTAAGTTCACCGGTTGTGTATAATGGTCTGATCATTAGTTTACCCTATAGCAGTGAATGACTTACATCATGGCGGTGAATGACTTACCATAAGACAGTGAATGACTTACCATATGACAGTGAGTGACTTACTATATGATATTGAATGACTTACATATGGAAGTGAATGATTTTCCCATGGCAGTTTATGACTTACCGCATGTCCGTGAATGACTTTTAAAATGGCATGGAATGACTTCCCACATGGCAGAAAATAATTATGAAACGAATTAATTTAAATAATTTAAAAATGGAGACTAATTGTATGGAACCAGGTGAAAATATAGCACGTATCCTTTTCAAAAATGAATTAAAACAATTCAAGCCAGATTCAATAATGATTCAACATTCCTCCTAATTTTTCTATGAATACATGAAGTCAACACTCCTTCAGGTCCATTAGGTTACAAAATTTGTGTGTATGGAAATTTTTTTAATCAGTAAATATTTAATTATATTTTGTATATTTAAAAAAACTATGCGCAAATGATAGTTTTAATTAAAAGGGTAAGTTCCTGGACAGTTTTATAAATCAATAAACAATAATAATAGGAACTGCGGTGGCATTTGGTTGCCAGTAAGTGACTTATAACTGGATGTGTTAAGTAGTGTAGATGTACGAGTGACGTGACGTGTGTTAATGATTCATCAGTAAGTAGCTTAACTGTATATGTTAAGCAATGGAGATGCATGAGTGGCGTGACGTGTATTAATGATTCATCACTGAGAGTGAATCTCAATTAATTGCTTTTTTAAAAAATATCCTTTGAAGATGTTTACTCACTACCGAGGGTTCAATTATTGTGATACTCAATTAAACAACCCCTAGCAATGGGGAGTGGGGAGGGTTGTGGGGCTAAACATTTAACAAAACATGCATGCAAGCAGGGTTTCTTTCAGCTATATCTGCCCCCCCCCCCAAGTGCCCACCCCCTGAGCAAAATATGTCCCACAATAAATCAACTGGAACTGCTNTCTTTCAGCTATATCTGCCCCCCCCCCCAAGGGCCCACCCCCTGATCAAAATATGTCCCACAATAAATCAACTGGAACTGCTGGCCCCTCCCCCCCCCCCCCGAAATCTCTGAAGTGCCCCCCCCCCCGGGGGAAATTTCTGAAAGAAACACTGCCTGCAAGTAGCGCAATTTATAATAATCCCAATTAGTGATTCCCCCCAACCCCCCAAGGCTGGCTACCCCACATTTGTTCATGCCCCCTGAACTATATCAATATTCTAATGATTCACCCGCGTGTTACACCGCAGATTTATTTCACATACTATTTCAGAAAAACAAAAGAAAATATTACGTGCCTAAACGCACTTGCGATATATGTCAATATTAAAGAATCACATTGAAAGCACTAATCGGGAATTTTTTTTTTTTAAATCAGTGTGATCATGTTTCCTTGATCTTCCCCTGAAAATTGTAAGGAAAATCTGATTTTTGGAGGTTGAGTTTGGGGGGATCGGGTTGAAAATGTGAAAGAATGTGTTTGTCATCGGCATCGATTTAATGTGCCCAGTTTCAGCTCGATAGATTGACGGGAAGTGGGTGAATTAGTCATCCGAATATTTTGCCAGTCACAAACAAAGGCGAAGTTAATGTTCAGTAATTAAAAATGCGAGTGTCTTCGTTAGTAATCATTGTCTCTCTTTTTTTTTTAAAAATCAATTCTTGAAATGCTATAATTAATTTACCAATTATTGTTTGTTGAAAATGAAATGGTGCTAAAGTATTGATGATCTTTGTTAATATATGAAACGTGTTCATCAATACTTACTGAGATCAATTTTCTAATTAAATAAAATCGTTTAATTGTTGTTGTTCTTGTTGTTGCAGTAAATGGTTCCACCCCTCCCAACCCACCTCGAATGAATGTTTAAAAATTAAAAATAAGAAATTAAAAATAAAACGATTTTGGACGAAATATATCAAATAATTAAAAGTCATGTGGCCAACCAGGGTGGACTGGGAAGGGGGGGGGTAGTTTGTTTGTTGTTGTTGTTGTTTTTTGTGTGGTTTTTTTTTTTTGTGGGGTGGGGGGGCTAAAGAGCATTTACAATAATATAAAAGAGAGGGAAAGAATGGGGGCATTTTGGAAAATCGTAGCACGGTGCTAAGATAGAATTTTGTGTGAAGATAATAGTGTTGTTGGTTTCATGTCATCATTTACGACAAGGCTCTCTAAACCTTCAGGTCCATTGTTGTTGTTTTTGTTTTTTGTTTGGTTTTTTTTTTTTGTGGGGTGGGGGGGATAAAGAGCATTTACAATAATATAAAAGAGAGGGAAAGAATGGGGGCATTTTGGAAAATCGTAGCACGGTGCTAAGATAGAATTCTGTGTGAAGATAATAGTGTTGTTGGTTTCATGTCATCATTTACGACACGGCTCTCTAAACCTTCAGGTCAATATTTATGACAGGGACGTCAAACCTGGGGTACCAGGTGGTATTTCAGAGAACGCTAGGAAACTTTTAACTTATGTTTGAAACGTTTCATTTTTTGTGTGTGTGTGTGTGTGTGTGTGTGTGTTTTCAATTTCTTGATGAACTATTTACTTAAGAATTATAAGTCACAAATATGTGTTTTCTATTTTATAAATTAAAAAAAAAATTGCAGTTCATATTTGTAATATTTAAGAGGCATTGTTACATTTAATTTATTAACTATGTGAGACTTAGTCCAACAGTTCGCAGGGTGTCCGAGACCTATTTAAAAATTTGAAAGACATGTAAAACATAGAAGAATTTGGTAAACCGGTTTATGAAGTGTAGTAAGGAGGCTGGAGATTCCAAGCGTCCATCGCAACATTCGGTGTGAATTTGGAAAAGTGGGGTGGGGGGTGGGCATTTTATTTCATTTCTAAGAATTAAACAATGAAATACTTTTACTGAAATTTATTATTTTTTTCAAAGACTTTGGGGAGGAATTTTTAGTTGAGTTTTACCAAAGAGAGAGATATATTTGAATAAAGTTGTTTTGAAAATTGTCTAGTCTTTCTCATTTCATGATTTAATAGATTATATTTTGACCCGTAAAAAACTAAATGTCAGCTCCTACTAAATTTGTCAAAATTATGTATCATTTTAAGGATGTTAAAAAATAATAATTTTTTCTTAATGCTGTGGAAAAAAAACTATTGTGTTTCTTGTATTCACTTTATATAACAAGGAATGTTGACCCATTAAAAGACTCCTAGAGTATACACAAATTATGTGGAAGGAAGAGAATATTTTATTGTGCATTAATTTTTTATTTTTTTTTATTATTTGTTTTTTTTTGTTGTTATTTTAAAGTTTTCACAATTTTTATAAATTTTATTTTTGACTTGTTCCAACATAAATTGAATTGTATGTCAGATACTTTTTGTCTATTAAATAGACATTAATTTATAATGAGTATCTTTGATCTTTTGCTTTTTCATGTTTATGAATGTTGACAAGATGGCAGTGAGGGCTAATGGCATGTGTATTAATGTTGACAAGATGGCAGTGAGTGCTAATGACATGTTTATTAATTTTGACAAGATGGCAGTGAGTGCTAATGGCGTGTTTATTAATTTTGACAAGATGGCAGTGAGTGCTAATGGCATGTTTATTAATTTTGATAAGATGGTAGTGAGTGCTAGTGTTTATGACTGTTGACAAGATGGCTGTGGGTGCTAATGGCATGTATGACTGTTGACAAGATGGCAGTGGGTGCTAATGGCATGTTTATGACTGTTGACAAGATGGCAGTGGGTGCTAATGGCATGTTTATGACTGTTGAAAATATGGCAGTGGGTGCTAAGGGTATTTTTCTCTCAAAGTCTTAGGTATAAAACTTGATAATTGATGACATGGACAACTTTGGGGTGGAGAGACTTGAATCCAATTATAGAAGGGTAACGGTTATAGAAACACATAGCCTACTTAAATCAAGTTATACAAATTTACTGGTAATAGAAACACAGACTTGAAAAAAAGATAACTCGCCCCCCCCCCAACCAAATCTGCAGGTTTTTGTGTAAAATCAAGCCAAATCAAAATAGAAAATAGTCAATGTTTAACCATCACTATGTTCAATACGTAACCGTCTCTACAGTCTATATGTAACCGTTACTATAGTCTATGTGTAACCGTAACTATAGTCAATCTGTAACAGTCACAATTGTCAACATTGA